GCACACACAAAGCTTTAATGCATCTTGACAAAGGAGATGTAACAGCGAAGCTGTCATGATGCGAATCCATGACTTGCTCGTCAGGAAGGGAAAGCAGGTTACGATCTACTTTTCTCTCTTCACCAAGTGCCCCTAATGTGTGTTCTCATCATTTTAACAGGAGAAAAGTGTACCACCCCAAATTATTAAGAGTGGACTGGTGGTATACCAATTTGTGAGATGAGTCGATTGGCTTGCCAACCCATTTATATTCCTCATTTTTACACGGATCCGCCGCAATCAACTGGTCGCTCCTGTCCTACATCAGAACGGGGTGGAATTTTAGTGGGCTATAAAAACCAAACGAGAAGGCAAAATAAGTGACCTAGATCACCAGGGGACACTCAGGTCGATTCCACACGAACGGATGTGTACGATGAGACGTGGCCATCAGGTGCAGAAATTCATCTGGAATTTCAATGGGCGTTTTTTTCTTATTGTGCCTTTCGATTAGTAGTTTAAGTCAGTTTATTGTGTAACTACTTTTGTATGGTGCATCTTTGACGTTCAGATACAAGTGTGTGTATGTAGTCAGCAGTGGCGGTCACTTAATAATAATTAAAAACGACCACAATCCTGTTTTTTCTTTTTTGGTTAGAAAAACCACACTGCGCTTCCGCAGGTACCTTTATGGTTTGTAGTTTGCTGCTAGTGAATGCCCCCAAGAAAAATCATGGCGACACCCACAATTCCACACCAATGCTCATAATTTCAGACAGAATAGCACAGGTGATCGCTATGGCCTGTGTATCAAGTATTTGCTGTTCCGGATCCAGTTAGAAAGAGCAAGGCATCTGAAACTGAAAGGAAGTAGATGTGGTAAAGACAGGTCTCCTTGGTGTACCATATTTTCTGGCGGCAGATGGTACACATTTGTACAGAATTCTTAACAGCTGAGAGAAATCATTTTCTAGACAGGCTTTCCGCCGGCTGATTACCTGGGATCATATATAACATTATTGATATCCACTGATTCCACTGATTAAGTGCAAGCTGTATTTAATACATTTACATTTACATAGTTTGCAGTCGCACACACCAAAAAGGGATTCCTAAAAGTGCTTCAGAAGTTTACAAAATGGGCCCTTTTTGATTGAAAGCCGCGGAGAGCGGATTCCAAAGCGCAGGATACTTGCGGTCAGATTTCCTTTAGAGAAAACTAGACAGCGTTGGTTCAGACGGGTAAAAAATGTTCTTCAGAGAGGACACTGGTAACAAAACTGCAGAATTGAGATAGATTTCATATTTTCTGAACATGAACAGTGCAGGTTCACCTTTTTACAGAGACGAGCAGGCTTTTCATGGAGAAAAGTGGAGTGCTTATTCAGCAATGGTAAGAGGTTGTCACTCACGATAGCGATAAAAGGAGGTCGGTGGCTAAAATTAGATTTCAGAAAACAAAAATGAAGTTCACAGTTTTTGAACAGACAGTATGTAGACAAAGCTCTTATATAAAGAAATTGGCTTACAGATTAAGCAAAAACAATATCATCAATATTAAAGTCTACCTTTCCAAAAAAATGCTGTGTTGTTTGAGGGAACAAAATTTAATCAGCCTCTTTGAAATTTTAAACAGGGCTTGTTTGAGACAATTATAAGGGCAGAGTAAAATTACCAGAAACTGATAACAACAACATTTTGACTTTGAGAAAGATTCTGCTAGGATCGAAACGTCAGGTACTCCTACTTCTGTTGGCAATATTAAATGATAACAATATATGTCGGGCAGGGCAAAAAATCCAAAATTAATTAACATCTCCTATGCGCAAATCCATCCCTGGAAACAACAAATAACTCTCTAAATAAGATGAAAGCTACACGCGTTTACCTGTTTGGAACACTGAGTAGTATTCACGCGTCTCTTAGGATGAAGAGTACATCCTGACAGGGTCATTTTTCATTGAATAAAAATGTAATATCGTACTTCAAAGAGGAAACAAGGTTTTTCAAACCGGAACAAACTTCGCCAAAATGACGACACGAAATGGACCACGCCCCTGCCTTCCATGATTAACCTGTTCCCTGTTTCCGTGTTCACGCCCAACAAAAAAAAAACAGTATCGGACACTCTGGAAGAAGAGTCTTTTCTTAGCCCACGCTCCATCAGCTAGAGACAAACAGACGAACGCAAACACACTTCGAGGCCATGTTGCGGACAATTCAAGGAGCGCTGCTCAATCAAAAACAGTCTGAAAGTGACAGTTTAAAAGACACTCTGAGTCCAAACAACAAACGCAGAGTTTATTTTTTGTGTTTGTGAACTTTCAGAGCGTGCCAAATGTCAATAAGACCGTAATTAATAAGTCGGGTATACTCGGTTGCTGGCACAAGATTAAGATATTATGGAAACACAAAGGCGCTTCAGTGAATGGCCCTCGAAGCAGGTGCTGATCACTGTCAATAAACATTGCCGCCAGTCGTTTGGATTGCCCTCGAAAATGGAGAATTTCACAATTTATGTACCCCTTACACTCCGGTGTTGTTACAGTGTTCACTTACAGCAAGGCCGGACGCTGCCGCGGCTTTGACTTAAAACAGGAGAGAGGGGTGATTTGCCAAGATATTGAGGAGAAGCTCTAATTTCAGCAGCCAGCAATGGAAGAAGCTGCTCTCTATCAACAGAGATGCCATGTGGTGCTGAAAAGGGATATTGTTTTCACAAGGAATCATAAAACATAATTTAAAATATAGCTTTTACGCAAAGGCCTAATCTAACTGCATCTTTTCATAGCCAGCATGGCGTCCATGCCTCCCGTTGGTAGTATTTCAGCGCTATTAAATTCACCCTTTGAAGCTTGTGCCACCGGCGGGGAGCTTGTGGCTGCAACGAGGGAGAGAGAAGTAAAATATGTCATCGAAGAAAGGCGGCTCGAGAGGTTTACCGCGTGCACTTATAAATGCTGACCTAATTGGAAAATAACCCAAACGAAACGACCCAGTTTAGTGCATTACAGGAATGCTATGTTTGAGGTAAAGTTATAAAAAACTGTGAGCAAAATTGCTCACAGATGAAAACATTTATTACATTTAAAATTTAACAGACTTCTAATGTATTAAAAAATATCGCACTTCTAAAGGGGACTACAGAGGATGATTAGAAACAAAGATTATTTCGGGGAATTGTAGGCATTGGGACCATGATACGAGGGGAGCCACACTATCTTCTACGTATAAAAGAGAGACTGACTGTGTCGCTTAGGTGAATACGGAAATAAAGGTACCGAGTTTTCCTTTCACAAAAAATTGACCTCCAGTAAAAACCAGCGCCCTTTTGTTTCTTTAGCCGACGATGCGATCAAGCCCGTGGCCAAGGATTTAGACATGGCGGACCAATCAGAGTGTGACCAGCCGTTGAGAGAAATCAGCGAGGCGAAATGCAGGCAGGAATATCAGGGCGCCTTAATGACAAGACTTGTTGACTTTACTTGGACCGAGGTTGATGGCTGATCCATCGCCTGAGGCACAGGGCCACCACCGTTTATCAAAAAAAAAAAAGGTTGCCAATCATTACCTACATCTGTACAGAAGTTGGGACAAATATTTGTAGTCGACAGTCTGTGTATTAGTGGTGCTCTTCAGCATGTGCCTTTATACGGCAGGCAAACCCTTCAGAGAACAGCTGAAGAAAGCTACATTAAGAAGAAACAATAGAATAAGAATCAAGGAGATCCCAAAGAACACAAGGAACAAGAACGAACGGTTTGTTAAACACCTTGTCTCCAGTTGTAACATTTCAGGTGAATTGGAACCTTCCGATTGCCATTTGGAGAAAGTGACCTTAGCTCAAACGTTTCCCCATCTTGATTTTTAAAAGTTGTTTGCATGTTGCATTTTTTCTTGACCCTACAGAGCGTCTCGATGGCTTCCACTTATCAAACAGAGGTCTATAGTCTTCGTACGCGAGCGGGGTATTAATTTGGCCGACTGTTTTTGGATCAAGATGTTTACAAGACTAATAATGCTTTTATGACTAGAGAAAGGTTCAAAGGAGTACCTCGGGAAACCATTGATTGCGCAGCAGACAAATGAGGAAAGCTATCACACGTGGCATTCCAATTCTCTGAGCAGTTGCCCTTTTTGAACAGAAACAAGTAATGATGTTTGTTGCCAGATCTGATCAAAGTGTGCAAATATTTGCTGATTCAAAGCCTGGGCCTAAAAACGCCCGAACTCGGATGAATTGATATAATGCATCAGAGGGCACACTGTGCACAGTCTTCCGTCTCCGAGCGTATGGAGCCTGGATAGAGAGCCAGGAGGGGCGATTCCTATGCTGACTACAGACATTGGT